ACGTGAATAAATCTCATCAAATAAACCATCAAATAAATCACATTGGTTTTTAGTGACAATCCGCTCACTGATTTTTTAATTAAAATCTTTCTTAATAAGATAATCTTTGATAATATTAATGACATCTCCCCAAGATTCTTTGCTAACGTTCCAATTCTTAATAAAAATAGCTCAAACCCACTTTCTTCTTGAAACATTTAACTTTTTAGGGGTAAAAAAAATTTATAGAAAAATAACAAATAGAAATTTAATTTGTTCAAATTTCCTTTAAAAATTTACAAATTATTTTGTTTTTCTGTTTAAATATGAATAGTTAATTTTAATACTTTTACCTTTTTTAATATTTTTTATCGTTTTTTAGACTATTAAAGTTATTTTTGATTAAATTAATTAGTTTTTAAATAATTGATTCTATTCTATTATTTTTTAAATTTTAAATAATTAATGTCAATTAATAATTGATAGATTTTTTTACTAATTTGTTTAAAAAATTTTATTGAGAATTTTTAAAAAATGATTTAAATTTTATAAATAGTTGATTTAATTATTTGTGTTACTATTAAGAGTTTGTTATTTAAAGTTGATTATCGAAAAGATAAATAAAATTATTAACAAGGATTTTAAAGATAAAACAAATGATTAAAATTTTAAACAAGATATAAAAGTTATCCGTTTAATTAATTTATAAAAAATTAACAAATTAGTTTGATTTGGTGATTATAAAGATATTTTTATAAATTATAATATGCTCTGACTATCAAACTTTTTGTTGTAACTAAATTTATTATCTTTATCTAATTCTCTACTACTCATTTTCGAAGGTTAAAATTTTTTACTAAAATTTATAGTCAGATTTTTTCTAAGAAACTCATTTTCTTAGAAGTTGTAAATCTTCGTTTACAACAAATAATTGTTTAAAAGGAGTATAAGAACAAGTTATTATAATTTTCAAAATTTTGAATTAAATTACATGATATACACGTAATTTTATCTAATTTACATCATTAAAAAAACTTAATTAATACTTACTATATAAAAACATACTGTTTTAAATTTTTATTTTAAAATAAGAATTATTTTGATTTTTAATTTAGTATCTGTGTAGTTACAGTACTCAACTTTTAAAATTTTAATAGAATTTATTTATAAAAACTAACTATTTTATTTTTAATTAACAAAAAGTTAAAACGATAACTGATTAAATGTGTAAATGGCTTATTATTGTGCCAAAGCCTCATGTCAACTAGTTTGACATATATCTTAACGTTTTAGGGTTTAAACCAATTATAATACTATTGGTTACCTAAAATATAAAATGGAAATTTAAAAATAAAAGGATGGTTAAACAAAAGTTTTATTTAAACCAAATGATAACTTGTGCTGTGCACGAAACTTATTTATATTAGAATCTGGATTATTATATAAAATTTTTATTTTTTATTATACTCTAGATATTTTTAATAATTAAACGGTTTCAAATATATCTTAAAATAATTAATTTTAATATATGTTACAATCTGAAACAAATGATGTCATTGTTTCAGAAGATACCATAAAAGGAAATTGAAGTAAAAAAATACAGTTTTAAGAAAGATTTTAGTTATAAAAGTAATAAAGATTATAAGATTGATAAGATTAGCAATATACTAAATTATAAAAAAAGTTATTAAATACATTTATAAAAAGTTTATTTATTTCAAAATATTTTGTGTATTAAAAAATATACTTTTATAGATGCATTGAAAAACAAAAAATTATAATTTCATAGTTTATTTAACAAAAGTTTGTGTAAATCTAATTAGATTTTAATATTTTTTAATTTAAACAACAAGGTTTTAATAATAAAATTAACTTTTCAATATTATTATGTGATATATTAAATAATTATTAAATAAATATTTTCATTTAATATATAAGTTAAAATTATTTTAAATTAAAAGACAATTAGTGAATTTTAAAAATTTTTATGATGTCAATTTTGAATAAAAGACTAATTAATTTTAAAATTATGTACAAAATATGGCTTAAACCTTCAAATATCTAAAAACTAATAAAAAAGATTTCATAGAAATTTATTTAATATGAATTTTAAAAGAATTATTTCATAAACTTTCTCTAATAATTTCATAAATTTTTCTTAATAATCTTGAAAAGACTATTTTTTCTTTATTTAATTGCTTTTAAAATGATTGTTCTTAAACATTTTATTCTAACTCTAATTTTTTAATTTATTTCTTCATTTATAAGATATTTCTTCAACTAGAATGGAGAAAAATTACTCTATTAAAACTTAAAAAACCCTTTAAAAGCTTTTTCTATTAAATTTTATTTAAAAAGTGATTAAATTATAAAACTAAATGTTAACTGATTTAAATTTTTAATTAAAATAACAAAATGATAAAAGGAGAAAGTCAATTGAAATTAAGAAAATTTACTTCTTATTGGTAAATATAGTTGATTTTTTCACCAACAATGATTTGCCATGGTTGAATATAAAATCAAAGTGTAAAATAGATTGAATTAAACTTGTTATTATTAGTAAACTACTAATATTTTTCTTAACAACAAACTTATTTAGTAAAAAGTAAACTAAATAACTTATCCTGTACATGCCCAACATCATAATATATAAACCAGTCATTGTTTCACACTCTCCACATTCTTGTATCATTGAAAGTTGGGGAAGTAAAGCTACTGATTCTAGGATTAAGCTAAATCTGTAGAAAAATTCTTTAATCTTATGATCAGTTACATCTCTATTAATAATAAAAGTAACTATTAAACTTAAAATAATGATCACACTAAATGGAAACTTATCTTTATTCTTGTTATAAGACCTATCATTTACTAATATTTTAATAACCATATAGAACTGATACAATAGAAAGCATATCTTAAATACGTTATTATAAATATCTAACATGTTGTCACGATAAAAATGAAATAGATCCAGGTATCTACTCAAATAAACCATCAAATATAAAGTTTCCGTCTTTAATGATAGTCCATCTACACTTCTAACAGATCTTAACTTCTTAAGTGTGATAGCTCTACTTGCTATCATTAATCCATCACCTACAAATCTAAATAACGTTGAAAAATTCATTCTTTTTTTAAGGGGATAAAATGATTAAAATTTTTATAAAATAAATTAAATATTTAATTCAATTAAATTTATTGATAGAATAATTAAAATTAGTATAAATTGAAACAGTAATTTAAAATTAATATTTAAAACAAATACTTTTGATTATCAAACAACAAGATTTTTAAATGTTATAATTTGATACTAACTTTTATATAAATTAGTTAAAATAACAGTTAATTTTAATAAATCTTTGTAGAAAAATTGCAAATCTTTTTTAATAAATTATAATAGCGTATTATTAATCTAAATATAAAAAATGTTTTAATAAACAATTTATAAACACAAACAGTTTACTTTTTTGGGAAATTTTAAAAAATTATAAAGAGAAATAAAATACCAAATAAATACATTGTTAGAATTATGATGAGATTTCAATTAAAACACGTATGGAGTAATTAATGTTTCTGTAAGTATTAGTAGACATAAACAATTCCAGATCAAATAATTTTAATATTTTATAAATATTAATA